CGGGGAAGACTTTTTAACTTAATAAAACCGCGAAAAGCGCCGGCGGGATAACGCGATAGATATACGCGGCACTGCGCGCGGTGCGTGCCAGAAGAAATAATATCGTATCCATAATTTCACCCGGGGATACCTTTAAGCCGGCGCTACAATTCATATATCAGAGTCGCCCGGAGAGGCGGCGCGGCGTGCTCGCGAGAGGAAAAGAGGATGAGGCAAGAGGAGGAGGAGGAGGAAGAGGAGGATGAGGTAGGAGAAGGAGGAGGAGGAGGAAGAGAGAGAGAGGGACGCGGAGGAAGACAGGAAGAAATAAAGGGCAGCAGCCAATTCGCTATATGGACCACTCTAGGAGGAACACTCCGGCGCGGGAATAGACATACACTAATGTAAGTGTGTCACGGGGTTGGATTGCCACGATCCTCCATTCGAGCGCAGAAAAATATGGGATTTCTGGCTTTGCCTCGCTTCTATGCATAAACCGCGATATCAACTTGAGAAATAAGAGAATCGGGCGAGCGGCGCTCGAAGACGAGGAAGAGGGTGCAGAGGATGCATGCGTACCTTAATCCGGGGTTTTTTCCCGGCCTGCGATCGAGAAGCCGTTTCGATCCGAACAACGAGATTAACTCTTTTCCCATGTTTTCTCTCTCTCTCTCTCTCTCTCTTTCTCTCTCTCTCTCTCTCTTTCAATTCCAGAGTACACATTAAATTGCGGCTCAAACGACGTGACTTGATACGCTTAGACTTAAATTCGTTTGTTTATTAAGGACCGTTCGGTCCTCTCGGATTTATTACTTTGCGCAAGCAAACGCAGCGATTTAATCAAATTACGTAATAATTGCGTTCCCTTCTTCGCCGCACGTATTAATTCTCGTGCGCGTGATTTTGTGCAGACGCATCGATTGTGCGCATCGGTTGCCAAGCAACGAATACATTATCAAGATCGAGCGTTGTATGCGTGCTATAACGGGATAATTTCGGCTATCTAGCATGCTTAATGCATTACTCTGCCATTTAGTTAATAACTGAACTAAAGCAACGCAACGGGGCAAACGAGCCGCGCGCGCAATTTTCCTCCGAAAATGTGCGCGCGGGCACATCCGGTTCGCAAACTTCAAACGCGGATGCGTAAATCCGCCGGCAAATATAATAAGCCGACAATCCGCCGGCGAAGTTAGCAGTGCCGGCTGATTACGTTCCCGGACCGTGTAATTTACAAATTAATTGTGTCAGTCATTGCAAAACACGCATGCGTCAAGCAATTTTCCCCGTTTGTGCTCGCGGGAAGAGCTCGCGGGAAGAGCTCGTGTATATACGTTGTGCGAGCTCTCTGTCTCTCTTTATCTGTCTCTCTCTCTCTCTCTCTTCCCAGTCGCAATGCGTGCATCCACCGGGCGAATTTCTGCGTAAGTTAATCGCGCGATTAAGCCGGCTCGAAAAATTCAGACGCGCGAGGATTTGCAGTCATCGTATTCCCCACGGCAATTGCGTTCCGCGTTGCGAGGAGTACGCGGCGGCACTCAAATCCACCGATGATGCCGGGATCGCAGTCGAAATTGCAGCCGCGACGGCGTTGCGGACTAATTAATCCTTCCGAGTACAATTGGCATACGTTAATTTTTTCCTTTGAACGGTACCTCGGCAAACTAATATCGAGCTGTCGGGAAAGGAGAAACTCTTCAGCGAATTACAGACGTAAGACGCTTAACGGGAAAGTTTTTTCATTTCAATGAAAACAATCTCATGTAATGCGCCGGTAGTTCTCGGAAAAGAGGTTTCAACGCGGTAGAAGTGGATTAAACATCTATAGGATATCCATTTTCATCGCGTTATCATTATCGTTTTCACAAATTACTTTTTGTCCAATTTAATCAATTCATAATAATAATTAATTTCTACGTGTTTTCTAATAGCAAGCGTATGACGGAAAAATCTTTGAAAAGCATCGAAAGTCAAAAGGACAATGTACCGTATAAATTTCAATTTAAATATTGTCATAACACAGAAATGAACGTAGAAATAATAACGTGCTTTTGTAATTAAAAGAATATCATAAAATGCATTTTAAAGAGAGAATTTTTGAGACTTTTTAAAAATTATACGAAACGTCCAAATTCATATAACAAATCGCTGCGGAGAACCGATATGCAAAATTTAATAAAAATATTATACAGCGGAAATATTTTTACACAAAACACGAAAATAAATTCTGCATACGTATCGAATGATTTAAAACTATCGAATTACTGTAATCGGGAGGCGTTATTTACACACAAAATAAATGTAATAATAAGTAGGAATGATATACATAATTGAAATCAAACAATTATGGAATTCATCATTGGCGGTTTAAAATTTTCTTTGCACGAAATGCATGTGTTGCGCGCGAGTAACATATGTAACCAAATCTAATTGAACTTGACTGTAAATATACGACTTGATAGCGGTACCATTAACAAAGATCACATTACCAGGATCGTTTACATCGTTCATTAGATTCGACGACCACATTAACGATCGGCCAATTAACATATCTCTCAAAGATGCAATTCACTTTGATTTAATGAACGTCGAAGGGGCCCTAGCTGGAGCATCGAGCGATTTTCCTGCAGTTCTCTGATATGTCACTTTCGCGGCGCGGAATGTAAATTATGCCTGTCTTTCTGTTTGAGAGGCATTTCCATTTGCGCGAATTAAGTCCAACGCGGAACAAACGGAAGAAGTTCGTTTTCTCAGCTGACTCGAGTATATCCCGCGCATAATCAGAGCCCCGCCGCGGCGTCTCAAGAAAGATTGATAAATCTCATTCCAAAATAATTACTGCAGCAATTATCTCGCCAGAAATATTATTTATGCCATTCTTCGGGCACAGTACACTAAATTGTTTTATTATAAAATTATTTCGTGTAATTTTATATAGTCAGCGAAGCATTTTCAGACAGCAAAAAGCGTTTAAACGTTTCGTTAAATAAATTAATCTATGCATTATATTTACATAATATAGATTTACAAACTTGAGAGCAATATAATACAGCTAATTTTAACGGAAGTAAGTTTCGATGATATTTATTATTTCCATTTATAATTATTTGTTACATACAAATGAGGCAAGTTCGATAAAAATATAACATTATGCGTGTAAAATAGTATAATACAGTTTTATCCACGTTATTTGCACATGTTGATAAATGAAAATGAATACAATTTTGTGATTCACAATTGTTATTCTACGTGTTTCTGCAATGCATCTCATATTCCTATGTATAATTTGTCTTTCATATATATAGGTATATATATATATATATATGTATATATATATATATATATATATATATATATATATCATACGTGACGTTATCATTCTACATACCATAAGCGCTGCATCACAGTGTTAAATATGTACAAGAGAATTATTGTGCTAGATACCTAAGTCAGTATGTATACATTATACATATATACATATAACCGGACTATAAAAGTATTGATAAAAAGTGAACGCAGCTATTATTTACAGTAAAAATTTCAGATTGATTTTTGTCAAGGAAAACTTATCTTTCTTAAGATAATACTTTTTATATCAAACAAACTAACTGACATTTCTCCTTTATTTCTTTACAATGATAAAGAAATCCAATTAAATGCAGTGCAATATGTATTAGACTTTTGAAATAATAATGCAGCAAAAGTATTTAGAAACGAGAAACTTAAATCCTTTATGCTAATTTCACTCGAAGTTAGATATCAAAGTACGGAATCTGCAAATAACTCACAGCGTCAAACACTGTTGTAATAACAATGAGGCTACGCGGTTTTGTATTCGAAAAGCGGGAGCGATATTGCACGCGATCAACATAAGAAGGGAGAGAGAAGAAAAGAGAGGGAGGGAGACCGAGAACGAAAGGGGGAGAAAGGTAGAGAAATGGAAGAAGAAGAATTTACCTGTATATCGGTGCATCTGCCTCCTCCTTATACCAAATAACTAGGTGCAGCTTGTCCCCCGAGAGCGGCGGTTTCACGTCGCATGGTAGCTGAGCAATTCCGCCTGCCACTGCTTCCGCATCTGTCATTGTCACTGTAATGACAAAGTCGGGTCGAGAGTCAGGCCAAGATCATATAACCGGAAAAACGTGGTCGGAATACACGCGAGCTGCAGAGCGCGACTAATCTGCCCCCGTATTAATGGCTCGATTCGCGCCCGGTGATTTCACTCCCGCACGACGAGGTTTAATCCGCGACGACGACGACAGCGACGACGTCGCGTCCTCGAGCTCACGAGATCACTCGTGCGCGATTTCCTTCTAAGCCGCGGATCTTCTCGAAAGGTATCTCCGATATTTTTCCAGACTGTACTCTCCGCTAGCGATTCACAAGGGAGCGTCCCGGGAGTGAACATTTCTTTTCACTTCAAATCGGCATATATCTGTAGAGCGAAAATATGAGAAACGTATTTCTTTGTTTCGCTGATAAACAATTTAAAAAGACAAAACATCCCTTTGCAGTTTACCGGCTGAAAAATTTTTTTATTTCACAAAAAAATCTAATCTTTGCTATGTGCAACATGAAATATTTTTTGTTTCGACAAAAGTTGTTCAAATTTTGCGTAGAGATTGTTACAACAATAAAAAAAATTGTTTTAATTTTTATTCAAGCACTTTTTGGATGTTTGGATGGCGTGTAGAAATCATAACAATTTTTTAGATTGATATTAAAAATTTTTGATATAAATAATTTTTGTTTAAGGTATTTTAGATATAAGAATTTAGATTTTAAAATATCTTTTATATCTAAATCTTAAAGAAATATTACAAAATTTAAATTTGCTTATTAATAGGAAAAGAAATAATTTTACATTATTGTAGATATATTGAAAGTAAAATGTGCAGATTTTTTTTGTTGCTTTAAAATCTCAACACATTTCATTGTTAAGAGCTAAAAGGTATTTATGGTTAGATTTGCAATAATTTTTAAGAATGAAGAAATAAGTTGCATAGAATTTTATACAAATATTGTATATTATTTATAGAAATTTAAAGAAAAGATTTAAAATTGTTTAAACTGTAATATACGGCAAAAGAATTCTCCGTAAAAATTTTCCTTCATATAAAAATAAATAAAATAAAAATTGTAATTATTTATGGTAATTTCCTGCTTAAGATTGTACTTTGATTTTAAAGATATTACCAAAAGATGAAGATTTGATGGTCAATGTGTTTAATATATAACATTGACGACGTTGTGGTCGTCGAACAAAAGACTGTGTAACTTCCGTCGTATAATAGCGTCGATTATAATAACAATGGAACAATAATTTCTACGGAAATGCAGAGCGCGTTCGAGGGCTGAGAAAGATAATGTAATTAAGATCATTAATCAAATATAATTGTACCAATTAATCATGATATTTTAACAGCCAAGTTGGCTCAAGACGTGATCTGAATGTATAATTTTAACCAATAATTAAATTCAAACACAGAAAACGGATATCGAGCTCGATGTAACAGCAGATTCGCTTTTAGTAAACTGTAAAGTATCTCGCAACAATTATCCATACATTATTATTATACCGTTATACGATATATTATAAACTTTAGAGTGTTTTGTATATCATACATGTAAATCTTTATAATTAAAAAAAAGACTATCTTATGCGGGATGTAAACGTGAAAATGTAAATGTAAAAATGTAAACGTAATGCAAGATGGAAAACGTTGGTTTAGATGAATATCGATCCGTCCTTTTATATTTCAATTAAATAATCTTCAGATTTCCCAAAATGTGCGCATGCATTTCCCACATCAATATCTCAATGCGTATAATTCTAATTTTTAAACAAATCGAATTCAAAACGTTCTATTCTTATGCCACGTATGGCACGATAATCGTTGAAATTCGCCGAAAATGCTTAATGATCCGAATGTTCAGTAGAGCGGGCGTTCAGGACCTTTTGAATAGTGACCATGGCATCTGGTTATAATTAATGCACGATCAATTAATTTCGTCCCTTGTTTTACGCCGTCAACGACAAATTTACCGGATCATCGTCGCGTGGCCAGCGAATTTACGCGTTTTATCGTATGCCCGTAAAGCCCGAGTGCACGCGAATCTGTTTGGTGCTTCCGTAATTGGTGGCCGATATGACGCGGGCGAAATCGCAGCGATAATTGGCGCTCACGAATCTCGTTGGGTGTGAGTATAATTACCTGTTCGAATATATTATGCCGTGGCGGGATTTCTTCCCAAAGTTGACCGTGCGTGTGTATGTATGTATGCGAAGGGGGGTATTTAATACCCGTGTGTTTTCGTTACGTATTCAGCACTAAATGTTGCCACCCTTTCTGTTTTTGAGCTTTATTTATCGAACATGGAGAACGCATTAAACGCACATGTATGTATATCGGGAATGAGTATAAAATGAGTGCCACATCGGGCGGCTGCAGCTAATGTGCGGTGCATTTAGGTCACGCTTTCATTTCGCTTTTTTTCTAACTTGGCATCAAATTACATTGTTTACTATTGCGTTTCATTATATCAAAAGCATAAAAAAATCTGACAAGTTCATTCCTTTGTTACTAGATCTTAATGCGTCCAATTATGATACATTAAAAAATAGTACATTTAAATTGCAAATTAGAGATAGAACAAACGCCGTCTCTCCAGGAAAGGGAAAAAAATTACAAATATATGACGAAATTTTAAAAACTATTGAACCATTTCTGTTTACTCTTAAAATATTCAACCAGCGCGCCAAACAAACTCTCCATTCTCTTTCTCTCTGTATTGTTGTTATATTCAAAGCTTGATTTTTTAAACGTGATATTTCCAGGATGACATTCCGAGGCAACGACATCGGGGGCGGGCTATTTATTGCAAACGCTGGGCCAAGCTCGCAGAATCACGATCTCCATTTTAAATGTAATCCCGCAAAAGTAGTACGGCTATGCAGCCGCGTGGTATCGATAATGGTAACTGTAATCAAGCCGGAAGATGAAATTTGACCGATCAATTTTGAGAACGGCCGGTATTAATAAAATCAATGCTGCGCGCCCGGCATACCTCTCTGCCGCACTGCGATGCGACGTTTCCGACGCCGGAGATACTCTTTTAATTGAATTTTTATCCTTTTTTCCTGCGGGCACCCGATAGCGGGACTCGGTCACATTTGAATACATAATTGGCAGCTTTTTCCCCCGCTCGGCCGTTTGATCTGACCATCTCGTCGCCTTTATGTCTTATGTTTGTGTATCTCCTTCCGAACCGTCGACAGATGAAATGTGATTTAATTCCGGTTTAAAATGAGAAAAGCGACACGCGAATATAAAACTGTTGTGAAGCATTAATGAAAATGTCGATATTGATATGCACTCTCGTAACATCTCGTTGCATCTTTTATTTGTTTACCATTGTTTCTCTTTGTAAGTATTGATCACCGAGCATATAGAATGGCCGTGCACCAACCTCTGTACTTTTGAAATAAAGCATAGCTTTCCCAAACAATTTTCTTTATGCTTTATAAAATTAAAATTAATGTATACAATATGAAATTATTCTATTAAATAATTTTATACTAACGTACAATTATTCGGTGAAAACCAGAGGACAAATAACTTTTAAACAATGTGATATTATTGCATTGTTAAATGTTGAAAATTAAAATAACTTAAAAATAAACGCAGGAAATGTATATTAATGTGTTGTACTAATATTTTTTCTTATTAATGTTTACTATTATGATTATTATATAATATTTTATTCAAAGATATTATTCAAAATTGTTAGTTTTTTAGTTGCTGAGATTCTTGAATTTGACATCAATATAAGAATAAGAATTTAAATGTAAGATGATTTTAAATGATTTAATTAATACGATATAAATATTTTATCAATGCAATATAAATTTAACACAAAATATCTGTACATAATTATTAATTTAATTATAAAAATATACAATATCACAGGAAATATGAGAAACATAAAATTAATATCCTTCTTTTATAAAAGTTGTCAATTCGTGAAATATTTGGAATTATTACAATTATTACAGGCTCCGCCTCGTCGCGAATTTTCCGCGACACTACCAGTTTCAAATTGGAGAACACGGTCCTTTTCTACACACTCGGCGAGTAGGAATGTTTCATTCCCCTGAATATGGGGAGCCGCGGCGACGCGACGATGCAACTTTCGCGCAGAGGCTTTTACCGCGCCGCAAACAACCGTTTTCATTTAGCTTTCCCGCGACGCTAAGTGAATTTTGCCGGACGCCTTTCTTCCGTTCTCTTCACACATACGTTCGAGCTCGTGAGTCCCGTTATAAAGTCCGGCTGAATTTAATCCCTGCTTTTCATGAAATCCGCCGGCCGATCCGACGCGTTTGTAAAAAAAAAAGAGAAGATGAAAAAAAAGTTGCGCGTGTGTATCGTCGCGGTCGCGTAATTCCGAAGGAAAAACCGGACGTTAATTATTGCCATCGGCGGCAAAATATTTTCCCGCGGTTATTCCCGTCGCAATAATAGGAGCGCTTTCGCTGCGTGTTATTAGAGTCGCTGCGCGCGAGGGGCGCGAGGGGAGGAGGAGGGGGAGAAGGAGAGGGAGTGTATTTGGTGAAGAGTTTGTTGCAAGTACGCGTGTGGATAGATGCAATGTAAATGCCCGAGTGTACTCGATGGTTTTGTCCGTGTCCTGGTGAAGCAAGTTCAACATCGCCGCGAGCAATGTTTGACCGAAAATATTGTATATAATGAGTACGTTCCGGATTTCCGTGAAATTCTGTTACATGCAGAAATTTTCGTCTTTAGATACATATCTCTCACAGGATACACATCTTTACTGCACGCATTTCGCGTTTTACTGACTTTGGCGAATGTGCGGCAGAGATATTTCAAATTAAAGTGCTCGGGTTAAACTCCTGCCTGAGATAAACAATTATTCGAGGTTAAAAATAGAATAATAATTATCATACTGACTTTTTCGGAGTAAAAGTGAAAATTCCGAGGTCTCTACACAGACTAATATGGGTATGATATGTATGTATACATACTGTACATATACGAGTATTAATCTGCCACAGAGATGTCT